CCTCCTCCTCCAGCTCTCCAACTCACCTTGGTTCTCACATGGAAGAGCAAAAGTTATTTCCCCATCAGAATCGTTGCATCAAACTCTCTTCCAAGCCAAGGCAGACATCTCCCTCTCAGGGATGGATCTCGGACACAGCCCTGCCCCCACACCTAACTGGACAACGGAGGGGTGCACCCGCCTCTGGGATGGCTGTGCCACCCAACTCTCCCATGTGCCCTGTGCCACCCTCAGGCTGCAGATTCCACTATGGAGGGCAGATCTCTAAAGCAGGACCCCTCTTGCACTGAGGACTGTAGATGTCATTGCATGGAGTTAGGCCTAAAGCAGCAAGCAGGCTGGGCAACAGAGTGGACATGTGGGCTCTCCTAGGCTACCTGCCCCCAAGAAACTTAAAACATAAAGCCAACGAGGCCAACATGAACACTGAGCCCCCAGGGCAGCCATTTCGCCACTGGCGAGTACCTGCCAGGGCCTGGACAGCAGCAGGCTGGGGTTGGCTATAACTGAGTCACTTGCTAGGAGAACTTGAATGCTGCCACATGCCACATTCAGCTGGGTGACAGAGGAGGTGAGGCTACTACATGTTTATTCAAACTGCTGTAGCAAGACAAGCAGGCTGGGCCTGCTCCCCCTGCCAGCCCCAATCCCGCTCACCCCTCCCTCCACAGTGCTTACCAATGAGAACAGACAAAAAGAACTGAGATATGGGGATGTTGAGGATTGGCGATGTGAGGTTCAAGAACCAGTTGGGGGTCATGGGGAACAGCCTCAGAAACAGCAGGAAGAAAAATAGGCAGCTCCTGTTCTCCTCCACCTGCAGCAGAGAAGAGAAGCCATATCACCATTAAGCATGTTCCCACAAACAACTCTATCCAGTCTACTGAGACAGCTGAGCGACCAGCTGTTGATGCAGGTGAGACACTAGAGTAAGGGTGGGCTTGGTCTCAGGAAGATGTAACATCACATTGACCTATAATCACATCCAAGCCTGAGGCATTAAGTTCCAGGCCACGCAGAGCATACCATTCTAGTCAAACACACCCAAGTCAGGCAGCGGTAAAGCAACTCAGCCCCTTGCACATACCTCCTAGTGCGCAGAAGCTTTCCCCTCAGCACAGCCAGGCTCCAGCACATGAAGGCAGTACGTGGCATGGGCTTGCTCATCCACATAACCACCAGCTTTAAAGCAATTGTTTAATAAGAAACACTTGGCCTGGCAGCAAGCATCCACAGGTTTGGACCTCGGGCAGCCAGAGGGAACTGGTCCTGCCCTGGCCACGGCAGCAATTAGATTTAATGGGCTGCTCCAGACCAAAGGAAGACACTGCATTTATGCCACGATCCACAGTGGAACCAGGTGCCTGTCCCACAAATGAATCCTCAGCCCCAGGCTGAGCATCAAGTCTCCCCATACAGCACATGGGAAAGGGAAGGGCCTTAATGTTTTCCATTGAACAGTCTTTGCAGCAGGGGCTGGACCCCAGGGCTCCCACCTGGGAAATGCAAGAGTCCTAGCTATGAAGCAAGACAGACAGGCTCACACTTGCTTTCCCTCTGGCCCAGCAAATGTTGAAGCATTCCATGGAAGGAGGAAGAGCCTCAGCAGGAGCCTGTTCCCAGAGCAGTCTTGAGCCTGGTGGGTAGGGAGGTGGGAGATAGTTGGTTTGAACTCCTCAGGCAGTTGGAGGTGGGGGGATGTTTATCTGGGTCTCCCACTTCCCGAGTAAGAAAATTCACCACCAAGTTACTAGATAAAATGGGCAGCAGCAGGGCTGCCACCACTGCCTCCTCTGGAAAAGAAAGTGGCTGTTGCTACAGTCTGTAGAGCAGTCAGGTAGGAGCGTTGTGGGAATGCTTAACTAAACTGAGACCCACTAGAGAGCGTGGTGGAGGCCTGCTGACCACATGCACCCTGGCTGGACTTAGGAGGGAGTTAGTACCAGGCTGCTCAGTCTTGTGCAGAGCAAGCCCTTCCGAGCAAGCCCAGAACCCCAACTTCGGATGTGTGGGGAACCTGAATGCTGGAAGCTTTGGCACCTGGGTACTTTTGGTGCCTCCAGGGTTTGGCAGCAACAGAGCAGGGCTCAGAGGATCCAACTCTGGATTCTTCAACACAAGGACGTCTATGGCTATGGGTCCTGGCAGCCAGAGATTTTTCAGGCTCATGTCTTATAAGAACAGAGCAAACTCCCTCCCTTTGTGGCAGGGCACTGCTGCCAAGTCTCTGCAGGCCCAGGCTCTCCTCCAAGTGCTTGTGCCTCTGAGCTTGGCTGGTCTGCAAATCTCCATGCACCCTGGGGTGCACAGGCTGGCATTTCTCACTCTCAACACTCTGGCCCCCAAAATGCAGTGTTACCTGCAGAAAACTAAGGGGAACAATTTACAGTTCCTAAGCTTCAGGATGTGGAAAGCTCTATTTCCATGGATGCAAGGCCAAGCAGAAGCAGATGAAGCAGCTTCAAGCCAAGCTTGTGTGGGGGATAAGTTGAAGGCATTAGCATTAATTTCAGCTGCAAATGTAGAACCAGCCTTGACACCCTTCAGAACCCTCAGGCAGAGGCTGGGAGCAAGCATGGCCACTTGAGCCTTCACATGGCCTCAGTTTCAGACCTCCCAGAACCTGGTGAGTTTTAAACGTGAGCCTAGGAGCCATGCCAACACCGGGTCTACACATGAAGAATTCAGCCCATGGGAACAGAGGGGGAAGGCAAACTAACCTGCTGCTGCACTCCCCTCTTGTAGTCAACAGAACTAGCAGGGCTCAAATGCCTTATCCCCAAGGCTGCACACCACCTGTGTCCAGCAAAACCTTTGGTGCTGGTGCTGATACCCTGGGCTTTTCCTTCCCATGTAAGTCCATGTATGACAGACATGGGAAGGGAGCCCCAGGGCTCTTTCTGCAATGCTTTTCTGGAGCAGGCTGCAGTGGCACTAGAGGGTGCTGCCTGACTCCTGCTCTCAGAGCGCATTCTGTTGTGCAAGGGCTAGTGAAGGGATTTACTCCCCTGGGCAAAGCCCATGCTCATCCTGGGTTTTAGCCCCATAACACTCCCATTTTGCAATCACTGTAGAGACCAACAGCTAGAGAGGCCTCTGCACTGGATGGGGGAGTCAGGGTGAGGAACAGAGGGCAGCACTAGCAGGGCTTGGTGGCTCCCTCTGTATCTGTGGCACATATTTCAGCTGTTGCTATTTTCAGCTCTTTGCTGAGCCACACAATTTGGAGGGAGATGCATGTCACCAGCTGTAGCCCCCTCACATCAACAAGCACCAGCTGCTCCCTCAGGCACAGAACAGGACCCTTCTACCTCCACGTTATGAAACCAAGACATTAGGCATCAGCAGTGGCAGACTGGTTAGAGAAAAGTGTTAATCCTGGCTCCAATGTCAACCTGCTGCCCGACCTCAGACAACCCACTTAGCCTCAGCATCTCTGTTCCTTTGCCTACAAAACTGAGCACACTGTTTATTCAAAGAGAAAAGAGAAGGCTTCTCAGAGGGGATCAGAGACTCAGAGCGGCCCTGCCCAGCTCAGTGTACCAGTAATTCAGTACCTGACAGGCCTTCTTCTTCCCAAGAGTGGGGGAGGGCTGCCCCCAGGCTTCAATCCTTCTTCTCCAACACCTGCCTTGGAAAGCAGACAGCAGAGAGAAGCAACCTTGCCCCATCCACCCTGCAGCCTCACACATGCTGAGCACATGTGGAAAGCCAAGACCAAGCTGTGCCCTCGTCAGCCCACCATGGAGGGTTTAGACCCATCCTGAGGGCCATGAACATGTGTAGAAGTTGTGGTGGTCTCTTTACCTTTCTTTGCAGCACAGCCACTTTGTCAGGGAAATAGTGGACCACAAACTGCTTCCCGAAGGCGCTGGAGAGTAGGTAACAGCAGGTGGCTCCCACAGATGTCAGGAAAGAGCACAACACAAGCCCCATCCATGGGCCAAACAGTGCCCCACCAAGGACGTTCTGGGAGCACAAAACAAGGAGGGGCTTCATGAGCAAAGGGAACAAACACAGTCCAGAACAGTCCACGCTCCAGCCCCCTTTCCTCCCTCTTGTGACTGACTGGAAAACCGGGAGCAACTATAGCATCTGCTTAGGGGGAGCAGTAATGGTAAGAAAGTATTTCTAGCTTATTTAAATACATTGTGGCAGAGGGATCCAGGAGCTGGTGCCACAGGCACCTGTGCCAATATGTGAGGGGATCTGAATCCTCTATGTACTCCCAGCGGTGTGCCCCGACCTCCAGGGAACGGACTGTTCCAGGGGGAAGGGGAGGATGGCACCCTCCCCCTCTCCAGGAAAGAATTCAAGGTCCATTGATCCAAGGACAGCCCAAGAGAGAACCTGTGTCTTTAGCCTAGTGACCCTACCAGTCAGCAGGGAGGAGGGAGCTCTGTGGTTCACCCCTTTCTCTCAGGGCCACATGTGAGCAAACAGCCAGCAGGGAAAGCACATGACAGCAGGGGCTCAGCTGCTCGTCACAGAGCATGAGGCAACCTGGACCTGGCTGCTGCTCTTCTGTATTAATCCTTGGCTATAAGGCATATCCAGTCCCATGTCTCACAGGCACCCAAAGTGTCTCTATGCCTGGTGACTTGAACAGCTAAGGCACAAAGCCTACAGGAGTGAGCCCTGTTCCACTGCAGGTCTGAGAACAGAATGTGGTTGCAGGAGCTGAGCAGTGATCCTGAACAAAAAGGTTAAACCCAACTGCAGGGCCAGGGCCTCCAGGAAGCCCCCGCTCCCAGACATCTGGTGGGGAGGCAGGAGTTGAGCCTTCTGCAGGAAGCATTTAGCAGGATGGGCCAAGTCTTTGTCTTCTTCATGGTGTCTCCAGTCCCACCTTTCTATACAATCTGCTCCCAATATTCTGCACAGGCCACTGGCTCCTGGTGCTGGCGTTGCCAGATCCTGTGGGTGCGTTGTGGTGCTATAGGGCATCTCAAGAGATGATCCATGGGTTGCTTCTCCTGACAAACACACTGGTTGGTTGTGCAGAGGCCCCATGATTGTATGAGAAAGACTGAGAGCGGGTCTCAGAAGAAGCAGCTATTTCAGGCTCTCTGCTGCATGCGCCACTTGTAGCTGGAGCCAGGTTCCAGTTCCTCGCTGGGGGTAATTCCTTGTCGGCCAAACAGCAACCAAATTTCAGCAACAATGGGCCAAGCAGTATTGTATTAGTAGGACAGATTCTCCCCCTCTACTGGGCACTGGCGAGACCACATCTTGAGTCCTGTGTCGTTTTGGGACTCCCTCTACAGAAAGGATGTGGACAAGTTGGAGAGCAGTGGGGGCTGGGGGACATGACTTGTGAGGAGAGGCTGAGGGAACTGGGCTTGTTTATCCTGGAGAAGAGAAGACTGAGGGGGGATTTAATAAACAGCCTTCAAATCCCTGCAGGGGGGTCCAAAAAAGGAGGGAGCTGGACTGTTCTCAGTGGTGGCAGATGACAGGACAAGCAGCAATGGGCTCAAGTTGCAGCAAGGGAAGTTGAGGTTGGATATTAGGAAATACTCTCACTAGGACGGTGGTGAAGCACTGGAACAGGATACCCAGAGAGGTGGTGGGATCTCCATCTCTGGAGGCGGTGAAGCTGGGGCTGGCCCTGCTCCAAGCAAGTGCTGGACGAGGGAGATGCACCCGGCACGGACACACGTACCAGGAGGCTGGAGCCGGGGATGGCGAAGCTCTGCTTGTAGAGGTAGGCGGCACTGAACAGCAGCAGCACGTAGCCGCGGTGCTCCCGCTGGTAGTAGCGCATGCGCGCGGCCAGCTCGCGCAGCTCCTCCAGGTCCGCCGGGAACTTCAACGAGCTGCAACGAGAGCAGGGGCCCGCCGGGGCGGGG